GGGTAAGATTAATTGACCCTTTTAGAATTAGTTCAGTAGTATCTGGTAACTCGGTAATCGATTTTATATTATTCACAAAGATAGATCTTTCATGGACAAAGTGGAGGCAATTTAAAAGATAATGCTCAGCTGTTTGGGGCTTATGGCAATAACTACAATTTGGTGTTGCAACGAAGTGACGTTTATATTGCTCTGCTAATAGAAACCTGAAGCCTAGATATATACGAATAAGATGGATGATATTTATCCGACTTTCTATATTGTACCAAACTGGTGATCGCAACTTAATTTTGATTTTCGCTTCCTTCTTTTATTTAACAAATGATTATTTGACGTTTCGACAACAACGTTGTCTTCATCAGAAAAAGATGTGTGTTTTGATACTTTATTTAAATTCTCCCAAACACTGTTAAGCGAAGTTCGCTTCTAGACAATTACCAAAAAAACCATTTTGAAGAAAATATTCAAGAGAAAATTATACATAAGAAATTGAACCATTATGTAAAAGAAGAGTATATATAGTCCTCCTTTCTCAAGAGAGGAACACAAACATAGAAATCAACAAAAAACAAAAAATTTCAGTTATGGACAGATAAAATCATAGTGACATTACGATTAAAAAACGAGCACATGATCAAATAACGACGAACGATTCTCATTTATTACATTCAACAGTGTTCTGCGAGGTCTACCCCGATCAAAAATCTCGCACCTTTCATGCAACAGAGAAGGATTTAAGACATATTCACGAAGATAGAGAATAGAAAGTTTTTGTTGTATGAAGTTCGTAATAACAGCGGGATTAACAGCAAAAGATTATGTACATTTGAGAACACTGAATAATATATAGATAGAATTTTAGTAAAACTGTTTATCGTTTTAATTGATAGTGGATCGGACAAGACGGTAATACTGGACGAGTGACTCATAAGTCTTCTTCTTCCGATTCACTATCATCGTCTTGCCATTTATGATATTGATATCGTGTATAATCGAATGTTTGTTGTTTAGCTGAATACTCTTGATAGTGGAATTTTTGAGTGACTTTTTCTGATGAAGTCGTTGTCGAAACGTCAAATAATCATTTGTTAAATGAAAGAAGGAAGAGAAAATCAAAATTAAGTTGAGATTATAATGACCTTCCCTATAAGACATGAAACGGGTGATCGAGATGGAAAGTTTAGGGAATTTTTCAATTTTATAGAAAAGTTCTCAATATCTGTGATGGATTGCATTCCATAGGGCAGGTTGTTCCAATCACGTATAGCGTTCACCAGTACTGACTTATCTACAAAAAATGTATTGGATGTTGGTGGAACTATATCTAGCAGTACATAGTGACACGTCTTTCGAATATTTTTGTCCTTTTTTAAATTAATTAAACTTCTTACGTAGGAAGATGACTGACTGTGTACGATTTTATGAATTAAACTAAATTTAGAATATTTAATTATTTGCCTAACAGATGGTATACCCAGCTCACGTTGTAACTTTTCGGTGCACGTATCGCGACACGTTCCGGATATAATCAGACATGCCTCATTTTGACGGCTTTCCAATCGATCAACATTAGCTTGAGTTGTATTACTATATAAGACGAGTCCATACTCTATAACGACCAAAATATAAGATAAGTATATCTGTCTAAGAGCTGGTCGGGCCAATGTCGTTTGCAAAGCTCTCAAAATGTTCATTTTTTTACTTATTTTATCAATTATGTAATTTATTTGTTTGTTCCAAGTTAAGTGAGCGCAATGTCACTCACCAAACAAGTCCTAAAGGTTTATGCTCTGTCACTTGTTTTAGCATGTTACCATTTAAAGAAAATGGAGGAAATGTTGTGCTCCGTCTAATAGATGAAAAGGTTATTTCTTCAGTTTTCTGTGTGTTCAAGTTGACTAACCATTTACTAGTCCAGTCGTTTAATTTATCCAAGTCATCCTGGATTGTTAGGGAAGAGGCAGAATCATTAGGTGTCACTGTATGAAAGATAGGTGTGTCGTCTACATATAAATATAACATGCTTTTTAAGTCTAAATCAGCCATGTCATTGATATAAATGAGGAACAGGAGTGATCCCAGGATTGATCCCTGGGGTACCTGCTCAACCATTCCGTAGGACGAGATGTGTCCCTCGACACGAACGCACTGTATCCGGTTTGACAGGTACGATCGAAACTATTCAAGCAAGGGACCTTCAACCCCTAACTGTTATAATCTCAGTAGCAAACCATCGCACCGTATTCTGTCAAACGCTTTCGTTATGTCGAAGAAAATACCACTTACATATGAATGTCCTTTGTCTAACGTTAAATATAGATGATGTATAATTGAGGTAAGTTGATTAATAGTGATATCTCCTTTTATGAAACTCCTTCATTATCTCCAAAGGAGAAGGAGTTGAAGTATTATACTTAAAAACCATTGTTTTGACCTATTTTTTGGTCTACCTATCGTCGTAGTTTTATGAATGAAATATAGGCATGGAACGAATTTATTACTGTGTCGAAGATTTATTAAACGTGACTACGTATTTGTATACTGTTAAAGATGAAGTAGGTTCTGCTATATTATGGAATTTAGAACAAGTTTTCAATGTCTTAACTTAAAAACAAAAAATCAAACCTATACTAAAATAAGTAAAAAGACTTTTCAATGAAATTGAAACAAATTTTGCGGTCATTTTCATTTTCGTTTCCTAATTAATTTTAAACTCACTTTCCACATGGCGTCTGTATGTTTGCTCATCCTAATCTCTTCTATGTTAGTGAACACTATTCTCAATACCATCTTTCGGCTAATACTAAGGAGTTTCACCATTTTAGTCCCGACAAGGGCCTATCTTGACAAGGTTTCTTAAAGCCAGATTGTTTTATGGTAATAAAGTTCCTGAAACTAATATTATTTTCCTATGGAAACATTTTTTTGCCATTTTGTTTGAAAAATCTTTCTGCACTTTTTAGCCATACGTCTCGTCAAAAAACAACAGTAAATTTTCGATGTTATCGAGTGTGCTGAATACAAACAAGCACATTTTCGCAACTCTCCATGAACTTTATTTTTTTTCACGTTGATATGTCCTGTCATTTCCATCTAAAACAGGCCACAAAAACATACAAAAGAAAAATAATCGATTCTCATGAGATTCGAACAACTAACCTATAATTTTCAAGCATCTCTAGCACAAAATGTTTCAACAACTAGACTATAATCTATCTCACGGGCCATGGTGAACATTTAATGCCGTCTGTTATCGCGGTATAATCTGAAATCTCCGAGTATACATAGGTACACCGTTTCAAAGTTATTCACCTTTTGTGTTGATAATTACAGGAGTTTATAACAATAACAAAAAATTAACAGATTTCTTACTTTTCTCTCATTAACTTGTCGAAGTACATGAACTTTAACTTGATACTGCCTCACTATTCGTCGTAGAACGTCCTACGACGAGTATTATCCGTGACTATCGGTCAGTCTAAAAAATAGAATAAAAACCTTGAAAAACTATCAACGATATTCGTTTTCTACTGGCAGTAGTTATTAAACAGTATACTGACAATGTTTTGTCTGTATTTAAGAATGTCTACATGTGTAAATTACACACTGATCAACAAAATTCTAGATGGTCAAGCAACATTTGATCTGATGGTCATTTCTTGTGTATCACTGACACACTTTATTTTTTTATAGTGTAATCATTTATCAATAAAAATATTGATAAGCTTTGTAATGTGTACTAAAACAGTATAATCGAAAAAAGAGAAAAAAACCAAACAATATCGAATATACACTTTGAAAAAAAAGTGTACTCAAAACCACACTTTTGAAGAATCGTTTTTCCGCTGAATACTTTCCAGAAAAGATTATTTTTAAAACAGGCAGCAGAAGAACACTTTTGAAAAGTAACTTACAATAGAATATGTTTGAAAAAAGTCACTTTTGGAAGCGCTGAGCTGAAGTGCTAAAAGTATTCTAAAAACGAACACTTTTTGAAAGTATTCCTTAGTATAGACATTTTGAAACCGCTCTAAAAAATAAAGCATAGGAAATAAAATCGTTCTTTTCAGCTACATATTATTTTTTACAGTGTAGATGTTCAATAACTTTTTTTTTTCCATTGTTGACTAATAAACCATACTATTACTAAAAATTAGCATTATGCTTTTTTACCTGTCTACTAAACAAATAAAATTACTCATCCTTCATAATAGCTTGAAATGATTGATTCTGACTGTTCAGGAGCACAAAAAAAAAAGAAAAGAAGAATGATGTTTTTTTTCTAAATAAACAGCTTTACTCCGTCGTATTATATCAATGTTCGAGCTTTCATTTTATATACAAATAATTTTCATTATTAAAAACAATCTTTAATTTGTTTAGCTCTTATATTTAATCATTATGTTCTATCAATTATTTTAATCTAAATAAAAATTATTCTACAAAAAAAATTTAGTTAGTCAAAATGTTCTGTCTGCTGTCGATTAAATTGTATTATTTAATACATTCAAAAGAAAAAAATAATGTGTTTCTTATCATAAATGAATTAGAATATATATATACAGGTAGATATAATTTATTGCAACAACATTTACATATATATACTTGAAAACCGTTGAATATATATATATATATATCAGACTGAAGGACGACCTTCCTATCCTATAAGACTACCTCCAAAATATATAAATTATTTTTCCTCAAGAAAAAAACATTGTTATTTATTTTATATAATGCAAAATATTAGTAGTAATGAAAGTTATACTCAATTTTAGATTTCTAAAAAATTTCTTATTTTTATATTCTTTTTTTAAATAATTAGATTTATTACGTCTATCATCTCATCATCCTCATTTTTTTTTCTTTCTACAAATGATCATACTCTAAAATATGTTTGTCTAGCCATTAGGTATCAGATGTTCTATCATAAATTGCATCAGATTTTATATGAAAAATAAAAGTCTATTCTATTGTTGGCATGTCAATTTTTTAACTTTACTATGATTAATATAAATCAGCTTAAAATCAATGATAATTGGCTTAATTTACCCGATCATCTATGGTATAAAATCAATGATTTTCTAAATGTTAACGATATTTTACGTTTAAGTCGAACATGTAAAAAATTATATACTCTTATTAATAGTTATGATTTTTGGACACATTTAATTCTATCACATTTTGGACAAAAATTATGGCATCGTTATATTATTGATGTCTTTAATGTATCAAATAAAACTATAAATAATTCAAATAAATTATTATTAGAAGAATATGAAAATATTCCAGAAGAATTTCTTAGTAATGGTATTCAGATAACTTGGGAAAATCATGATTCAAATGATGATAGTAAAGAATTTAAAATTGCTCTTATTCGATCATACAATTATTTAAATATGGATAAGAATTTGTCTATGACAATGAATATTGATGATTTTAGAAAAAAAATATATTATTATGGATTTAATAATAAACTTCTTGATCTTTATAGATCTAATATATTATTATCAAAATTAATTTATTTTTATTTAATAGATCAAAAACGAATATCATTTATTAATGAAAATTTTGTACAATTTGATAATAATCATTCTTATATAAAACAAAATGATTTAACAAGTTTAAATGGAGAAGTAATTTATATAAAAGAAATTATACATTGGCAATATGGTTTAAAAATTAATATGAAATTTACGAATATATTGCCAGGAATATATCAAATTATATGGAGAATGAAATTACAACAACCTTTTCTTATTGGATGTACTGAATTTTTAGCCGTACCTGATTATGGTCTAATGGTTAATTGTAAATGGTCACAAGATACATTTATGAAAATGTATCATTATTTTAAATGTAATGAAAACAATTTTTGGTTTTATGAGTGTATGGGAGAATTAATAGTTTTTGAAATTTCAAATGTTTACGTATCCATAAGAAATTTTAGTGATTCATCTGGGAAAAGTGGAGTTTTTCTTGATTATGTTGAATTAAAACTAATTAGTTAGAAATATTACAGTCACTCATAGAAATTGTGAAAATTTTCTGACAATATTGACGTTTTTAAAGAAAAATCCCAAATCATTGAAATTATGCTAAATGTTATATCTGTATAATTTTATCCAACATATTCCACATTTTAGAGAGAAATCATGTTTATAGGAGTCTGTTGGTTTTTGATGTTATTCTCGATATCTGATTTTCATATTCAAATCATCTCAAATATTTCTGAATATTAGAATTTTTATATCGACAGATATTACGTGTTTTTGCTGGGATTTTTGTTTTTTATTTTCTTCTTTCTTTCTTTCTTTCGTCCGCTTTTTAGGTAAAATATGCACCTCGTAATCTAAAGAACTATGAAAGCTAGAAAAGTTCTGGAAAAGGTACAATATTCTCTCGACATTGAAAATTGATCAGTGCACATTTTTCTTACAAATAAATATCCAGATTCGATGCCATAAGCGAGCGCCACAAGTGAAAGAAGAATGTTTTTTGGACTTCGAAATTCATCATATATTCAGTTCTATTTATTCTTTACAGGAAAAATAATTTTCTCTCTCTCTCTCTCTTCTTCAAATTTCGTTTTCATGTCATTTTTTTTTAAATCTATGTTTGAAAGCAACTAAAATCAGAACGAATGTAATGTGATGAACTTCCTATTGACTGCGGACAGCATCTGGCAGATCAGATCGGATACAGTCTGTCGATATCGCAACTTGTGCGTAGTGCTATTGAGCTCTAGTTACCTTTGATATATTGAATAATGCAAGAAAGACTAGGACAAACAAATTATCAATAAAAAACAACAAATGAAATTACTTTTCATTTTTAAAGCCCTACCACCCAGATCAAAAACCTATCTCAGCCCAGGTAGGTCGGATCTGAACCAAACTTTCAGGGAATGTTGACCATATCAAAGTATGGTAACGAAATTTTTTTGGTGTCACTAGCAACTGTTCGTGAGAGGGCCCCATAACAAGGGCCAAAGACAGGCGTCTGTCATTCACAGGAATTCTCATTCCAGGTAAATGATAGAGAGCTCGAGCTGTTTTTTTTTACAGTAAACATCTATGGCTAGGATTTGACAGAGCCCGATGTTTTAATTTCTGGTGCTTAACAGAACTTCAAAGTTCGAAAAATCCCCACAAAGTTTCTTAGAAATCCGCATTTCTATAAAAAAACAGAAGCATAATTTAAAAATCAGACTCTGTCAACTCGTAGTTATAGGTGTTATCTATAAATCAAAAGAAAGAAAAACTTCCTCCGATGTATCGTTACCAAGAATTCCCGTGCGTGGCGAAAGCTCTGAAGCTAAAAAAACAGTCTTGAGAAAAGGCAAACGCAGTTTTGATTCTGTTAAATGCGTTTTACTTAAAAACTGTTTGAGCGTTAAATAATTTATCGATATTTTGCTACAGGTTATCGGTCATGGAGGATCTAATGAACATGTGCGCGGTCACATGCGGCGCATGCCTGCGCTTATGCAATAACAGTGTAAAAAAGCCAAAGATTTTGCTATGGGGCTTCTAGAGAACTCGCTCAAAAGCTATGAAAAGCCTATCCTATCAACAGAAAAATTATATCATTGAAAAGTAGACAGTTTGGGCTATCCAACCATGTGCTTTTCTCAAAATCAATATTATTGCCGAAAATCAGCATTTCTAAGGGGAAAGGGGGGGGGGGCCTTAAACATGTCTCACAAAATCAGTTTCACAAATATTGAAACTGGCATCATCGAATACTTTCACTAATTTTGTCGCCAAAGATAGCTTTTCTCCCATAATAATAATTCGTCTGATGTTACACTTAGATAGAACGAGATTTATGGAACGTTCAAAAAGGGTTTTTTTAACGAGAACAACTAACGTGAACCTAATTCACTGTATCGGGCAGTAATTAATTGAAACTAAATAGTCTGCTCCACGGCCGTCCCGCACGGAGGGAGATCCCTCCAATTTTTAAAAATATCTGAAAATTTAGCAATTTAGCAAAGCATTAAAAAGTTAAGGTAAGCTATAATGTAGTAATATGATACCTTTTTGCGTTTTTTTTGTTATCTTTTGCCCGCTGTTATGTCATTTTATAACTGACCCCCTCCTTCCTAAAGTTGAAGAGATCAGGAGGGCCCTGATCTGCTCTGTTTTTTCTTTAAATATGCATTACAAATATGATGCTTTACAATATTACCATCTCATACCGGTTATTCTGCCTACACTGCGAAAAAAAAGTGCCCTTTGGTGAGGTTTAGGGCTGAGTTGTAACCGGTGCCGGACCGTACCGGACCGGTTGAAATGGTTGGATCGGCCGGTTTGTACCGGTCTAAAGAAATTTTTTAGTCGTAAAACTCCCTCTAGTCCCCCTTAGGATTAAGTCATAAAATGAATTTCACAATTTTCTAGATATACAATTTTTTTCAATAAAATATGTCGAGAGCAAGTCTAAGTTCTTTTATCAAAGATAATCATATTGTTACAAAAAACATCAACCTT